TCAACCCCCACGGAAAGGGCTGATTTTCCGAATAATAGAGAGGTAGGCTGCGCCTTGGGACGGCGTTAAACTCAACCCCCACGGAAAGGGCTGATTTTCCGAATAATAGAGAGGTAGGCTGCGCCTTGGGACGGCGTTAAACTCAACCCCCACGGAAAGGGCTGATTTTCCGAATAATAGAGAGGTAGGCTGCGCCTTGGGACGGCGTTAAACTCAACCCCCACGGAAAGGGCTGATTTTCCGAATAATAGAGAGGTAGGCTGCGCCTTGGGACGGCGTTAAACTCAACCCCCACGGAAAGGGCTGATTTTCCGAATAATAGAGAGGTAGGCTGCGCCTTGGGACGGCGTTAAACTCAACCCCCACGGAAAGGGCTGATTTTCCGAATAATAGAGAGGTAGGCTGCGCCTTGGGACGGCGTTAAACTCAACCCCCACGGAAAGGGCTGATTTTCCGAATAATAGAGAGGTAGGCTGCGCCTTGGGACGGCGTTAAACTCAACCCCCACGGAAAGGGCTGATTTTCCGAATAATAGAGAGGTAGGCTGCGCCTTGGGACGGCGTTAAACTCAACCCCCACGGAAAGGGCTGATTTTCCGAATAATAGAGAGGTAGGGTGCGCCTTGGGACGGCGTTAAACTCAACCGACTCCCACGGCATGGGCTGGCTTTCCGAATCGTAGAGAGGTAGGCCGCGCCTTGGGACGGCGTTAAACTCTGCTCAACCGACTCCTACGGCATGGGCCGCTTTTCCTCTTAATAGAGAGGGAGGCTGCGCCTTGGGATGGCGTTAAACTCAACCGACTCCCACGGCAAGGGCCGATATTCCGAATAGTAGAGAGGTAGGCTGCGCCCTGGGACGGCGTTAGACTTAACCTCTGCGGCATTGGCCGACTCTCCGAATGCTAGAGCGGTAGGCTGCGCCTTGGGAAGGCGCTAAACTCAACCGACCCCCGCGGTATGGGCTGATTTTCACGAATAGTAGAGAGGTAGTCTGCGCCTTGGGACGGCGTTACACTCAACCCCCACGGCATGGGCTGGCTTTCCGAGTAATAGAGAGGCAGGCCGCGCCTTAAGGCGTGCTAAACTCAACACACACATAATGCCCAATGGGCCGACTGTCAAAACCGTAAGAAGATGGGCAGAGTCTGATTTTGAGTTCGCTGGTACCGTCCACTCCACCGAAATAAGCCCACTGGCGTCACCATTGTTCAACTGCCTACGCCCTCGAGCTAACAAACCGCCGTGCTTTATGGCGCTGAATCGTTCGCATGAGCCTCACCCACTAAAATTCTAATCACTTTTCGATCAGTATACAGATCTCCGAGGCTCTCCATATGGATCCTGCGAAATCACACCTCGTTCGGCCTTAGGGATACTGACCTCTCGAGTTTAAGTTGAATAAAATTTTAACAGGTTCTCCTCTGATCACATTCCGAATTACATCGATTCACGAAGCCTGCTGTCTAATATATATTCCAAGCGGCAACGCGCGTCGCGTTTTGAAGCGCTACTCTCTCTTCTAAATACTGAACGCGGTTAGGCCACGTCATGGCTATACAAATCACTCGCAAACTGGATCTATATAAACCAGAAACGTGGACTTTCGTACGAACTCAGTTTAGTTGTAGCACAGTGCCCCTTTGTTTACATCGTTTCTGACTCTTTGCACCATTTTAATCGCGTTGGCCGAACTTGCCAGCATTTGTTTTCATCAATTTCGTCACTCTATTTCGATCCGTACAGAAAGCAGCTCAACATGCCCACGACTCGCCAGTCGAAAGGACAAAGAATCCGCCGACGAGTGTGGAACACTCCGAACGCACGCACCTCAGGCGGCCTGGGGGCGTCCGATATGATCAGGATTACTCGATACGTCTCCAATAGCTGCGGCGAACTAGTCCCTCGCATACGTCTTGTGTCCAAGAAAGCGCGCGAGGCGAGTCTTACACGCTGGACTGCTGACTATTCAGCTGGAAAAGGCCTCCCCTGGTGGAACCTAGCGAAGCAGACAGCCCTCTGGCTGCTCTCTCTCAACGAGAGACCCGGTAGCGCTGCAGATGAACACGCACGCGGGAACGCGGCCACGATGGCCATGTTTTCCTTTCGTAAGCCTCTCCCACCGCCGCGCTATCAGCAAGCAACCTGGGCAGCGCGCGTTATGGCGAGCCGGATTGAAGCCGCTTCACTCAGCATGCGTGAAAAGCTTCGCTCGGAGGGGGTAGCACACCTGTTGCACACTGTTGCCAAGGCGCTGCGCACACTAGTCCTTGAGCTCGCGCGCAACGAGCACGTGCGCGAATCTCATACAGTATTGCAGTTGCATGATCAATTTCAGTGGATGCGACAGCGCGTCTTTCGGTCGGGTGAGCTCAGGGGTGTAAACTGCGCCATGGTGCAGCTGCGCAACATTTTGGACAAACTGCACAACACATCGGCCAACTGCGCAACCACTTCTACCAGCTGCGAAGAAATTCAACAACATCTTGCCAGATTCTGGGACCAGGTGCGAGATGGACTAGAGTTTTCTCATGAGTGGCAAATATGGGCGCCGCTAGAAGAGTACATTCCTCCCGTAACATCCGACCACGAGTAAAAAAAAAAAGTTCCGTACTGACCGTTACGCGCGATATTACTGACAGAACCGTACCCACTTTGCGTGCATGTCAGTGGCGCCGTACAAGACAATGCCCAGAGCAGAGGGCAGGTCATGAGATACGCTAGCAGCAGTCATGCAGTAATTAGCCTTTTTGTGTATTCTTCAGATGGCCTCGCAGTGTCGTTAAAAACTAGCGAACGCCTTTGCCGTTGATATCTTTCCGCCTTTGAGGTTGCTCGCGAATGGTTTACGCATGCACGCTGTTCGCAGCGACAGCCAATCGTGAACCACCTCGCCAAGCAAATGCCTAGCACGTGTTTCCGCAAGCCATTCCCAATGTGGTTCCAGTTCAGAGACGCCACCTACTTGCGACTTTGCCGCCGCCTGGCGGACTCTCTTCGCCCATTGGTCGGGGGTGTCGTATGCGTGCAGCATGTTCGCGCGCGAGATCTTTGCGCGCTTTGCTACTGGCGCGGCGTCCAGCTCAGTTAAAAACTCGCATGGACTACGCAACGCCCCGCACCGACTTGTTGCGGCACGCAATGCCCACCGGAGCGGTCGGAACTCTTCTGGGACCACGAAATACGTGTCACCGTCGAAGTCACCGCCCGCCCGGTCGGGCTCGTGGCTGCTCAGTGTGAGCGTTCCCCGAGGGCTGTCATGAGACACTACAACCAAGTGACGAAAGTCGCCACAGCTTAAAAGCGGATACCGTCCGACAATGACCTCTGTGCCCACTTCTTGACAATACTCGTCAGACAGTGCCACGCCGCCGGGTGGGACAAGATGCGACACGAGACCCATGCCGCCCATCGCTTTTAGCGGCAGAGTGGCGAGCCGTGAGCACTTTCGCACTCTGGTATAGATCTGGTCCCTCTGGTCCCACCACGCGGAAACGCTTCGGGTGGTTGCCCACCGCGTCGCGCTTCTGGCTAGGTCCTGAGAGATCAAGCCTCTCACTAGCTGCTGCAGCTGAACCAGCCCGGCGCAGTCAAGGCCAGCGTCCATCGCAGCCAGGAACTGCGCCCCGCAAGACATGCGGCGCGAGTGCGCTGGCGCTGCCAACTCTAAGACCGTCGCCACTTCTCCAGCACGTGCCAAATAGTTCACCTGGGCAGTGGTGTGGTTTCATGAGTCTACTCTGTTACGCACATCTGGCTATGTTTACAAATGACAAAAAGGCCCGGCTTTGTAATGTAGGAGCCTGCCAAACTAATACACACCGCGATCAGTTTTATATACCTTGGCTTGCTCTGGCGCCAGCAAAATTATCCCCGCGGGTAGCTCCTTCGAGCGCACCGCCACGCCTTTCGCGACTGCTTTGCACTGGTCAGAGCATGCGCGAAATTGAAAAACCTGAGAGCATGAGAAAGGAATTGAAGTGCTACTAAATCACTACAGTCAGCGCACCTGCGTGCTAATGACGTGCGTCGCGACAATGTCACGCGCGACACGAGGGGCCAGCGAGCTCAACGCAGTCAGCGACCCGCGCACGCTCAGCGAGCCGAGCAGACTCTGCGTGCCGAGCAAGCCCAGCGAGCCGAACAAGCCCAGCGAGCCGAGCACGCTCAGCAAGCCGAGCCAGCTCAGCGAGCCGAGCAAGCTCAGCGAGCCGAGCAAGCTCAACGAGCCGAGCAGGCTCCGCGAGCCGGGCAAGCTCAGCGAGCCGCGCAAGCCCAGCGGGCCGAGCAAGCCCAGCGAGCCGCGTAAGCTCAGCGAGCCGAGCCAGCTCACCGCGCCGAGCAAGCTCAGCGGGCAAAGCAGGTCCCCCGGGCCGAGCAAGTTCAGTGGGCCGGGCTAGCTCAGCGAGCCGAGCGACCTCAGCGAGCCGAGCACACTCAGCGAGCTGAAGAAGCCGAGCAAGGTCACCGAGCCGAGCAAAGTCAGCGAGCCGAGCAAGCTCAGCGAGCCGAGCAAGCTCAGCGAGCCGAGCAAGCTCAGCGAGCCGAGCAAGCCCAGCGAGCCGAGCAAGCTCAGCGAGCCGAGCAAGCTCAGCGAGCCGAGCAAGCTTAGCGAGCCGAGCAAACTCCGCGAGCCGAGCAAACTCCGCGAGCCGAGCAAGCTCAGCGAGCCGAGCAAGCTCAGCGAGCCGAGCAAGCTCAGCGAGCCGAGCCAGCTCCGCGAGCCGAGCAAGCTGCAAAGGCGTGCTGAGCCGAGCAAGCTCAGCGAGCCGAGCAAGCTCAGCGAGCCGAGCGAGCTCAGCGAGCCGAGCAAGCTCAGCGAGCCGAGCTACCCCAGCGAGCCGAGCAAGCTCAGCGAGCCGAGCAAGCTCAGCGAGCCGAGCGAGCTCAGCGAGCCGAGCAAGCTCAGCGAGCCGAGCAAGCTGCAAAGGCGTGCGCCCTGCTACTACAAAATCCAATGCACAATATAGCTACTACCTCCGGCGCGGTCTCGATGTTGTGCCATCCGAGACCGTCCCGATTTTTCTGCCAACGCGGTTCGACAGTGTCTGGCTCCGCGACAGCTAGCGCAATGTGCTGCTTAGTTGCTGGACTCGCCCAAAGTTGGCACCGGCCTACTGCCTTTCCAACACTCGAGCGCACAAGCGTCGTCAGCGATTCTCTATCACCGGCAGACAATGCCGCAAGGATGTACGTCATTCCTTGCCCCATTTGTGTAGGCAGCCAAGCACTATACCGCGCGCCATCTCCGAACTCTGCTGTCTCACCAAAAACACCTAGCCACTTTCGCGCTTTCAGTGCTAATTGCTTGGGGGCGTGCTTTTTCTGCGAATCGGCATAGAGCGCATTTGCGGTGAGCAGGCACAGCCCTAAAGGCTCCACCATTCGTAAAGAAGACACTTCGATACGTTTTGGGCACGGACCGTCTTGTTTCGAACAGTAAAGGAAAGAGTGGCCATAGGTTTTGCGCCACTCCGTGGGATTTGCTGGCACTGTTTCCCATCCGCCGACGCTCTTGAAGCGCCGCATGCCCGCCGGATTGTTCTTCAACAGAAGCGCAACACGACCGCGGTCGGCATACACCTGCACCAACGGCGCGCCGCGCAACAGCCGGCGGCCTATTTTCTTGGCATGTTTTGCACTGATGCCACCCCACAAGAGAGAACAGCCACGCCCTGGCTCTGCTGCTCGAGCTGAGAGCGGCGCGGGCTGTATTGCCTCCCGCGCGCAGTCGACGGCCGTAATGCCGTCGACCGCCTCCCACAATACTACCGGCAGCGTACTATTCATTTTTCGCCTTTGTGGAACCTAGTGCATTTCGCAAGCTGCTGACACAGCAGAGAACTTTGCACCATCGAGTTCTTCTGCATCTTCAGTCAGCGAAAATCTCGTAGGACCAAGTAGTTCAAATTCAACAGCCAGTAGCCCTTCATCAACTAGTAGTGTTCCACCACCGACAACACCTAGTCCACAGCAGTCTTCTAGTGCTACACCATCATCTTCTAGTCACAACCGCCACTACGTCCTCGTGGGACAAGTAGACAACAGCAACGACAAAACGAATGAATACTACAGCAAAGTCATTGACTCCGGGGCGAGCGCGCATATCGTTCGTGACCGGTCTCTTTTCAAATCAATTGACAGCAACAAAATCGCCAGGGTCCGTGGTGTAGCTGGTGCTGATACTGGACGCATGGGACGTCTGAAGGACAACATCTTGGGCAGCAACATGCAAGCAATCTGGTTCCCAAAACTTCCGGCGCAGGCCTTGACTAGCGTCAACAGGCTGAAAGACGACGCATGGGAAGTTGCGCTTTCTCCGCACGGAGACACGGCAACGAACTTGATTACAGGAGCGTTTGTCAGCTTAGGAGCAACCGAAAAAGGGCTCCCTAGCATACCGAGTCTCGAGCTACGGCAAGGCGATCCTCATCCTGGGTTCTTCTGCTCTCCCATGCGCGACCAGGAGTTTAGTGGTGCTGTCGGTCTTGATGAAGTTTTTGAGTCAGTGCCTCCCGCTGCGAGAAAGGCAGTAGTACGTGCTGGAAGAAGGAGGCGAGGCCCTCGCGATAATCAAAAGTCTGTCCGTGATAAACTTCTGCAGCACTGGAGGATGGCACACATCCATGACAAGGGCGAGAGAGTAACACGCCGCGACTGCATGCAAGCGAAATTCAGAGGTATGGGAGCTGATTCAACTAGCTCCCCGGCACAGCAAAACAGTCCGTCCCTCGTGCTGTTTTCAACAGACTTCCGCGGTCCAGTAAAGCCAACCACTTACCGCGGCAACAAGGTTGCCATGCTGTTTGTGTGCAACTCCTCACAGTATATTGTCGTCCGCTCACTCCCTGCAAAATCGTTCGCCCCTCAGGCAGTAGAAAGTTTTGTTAGGGAGATTCGGAGAAGAGTCGGCGCCAATATACTGTCAGGGGAAGCAGCCACGCAGCTGATTCCAGTGGGCCTCAGAAGTGACAACGAAGCCACGCTAAAGTCGGCTGACATGGATTCGGTTTGTGAGCGATACAACATCGCGCATTCGTTCAGCATCCCGCACATGCCGTGGACGAACAGCCACGCGGAGCGAGCAGTTCAGAGTCTCAAGAACGCACTGAGATCTGTGACGCTGCATGTGGGTCCCCACATTTGGGACTATGGTCCCCGGGCCGTAGTTCATGCGTGGAACATCATGCCAAGGCTAGACAAAGAAAGAGAGTAGCATCGTACGCGCACCGCTAGAGACCCTAAGCAGCAAGGTCCAAAACCCGATGAACAGGGTGAACGTCGAGAACAAGAGAAAGTATCTTCGTCGGTTCCACGAGCTGACTCAAAGAAGTGCAGAGAGAAAGGCTGGAGATGAAGGTAACCACGAGGCCATACATTTAAATCCAACGGACTGGAAGCATGTAGAGAAGACAGCCACAGCATGACTATATTAACGCAAACGCCTACTACAAAAGTACTTACAGAGACTTCTTGGGCCTTGGTCTGTGGGCCTTGGTCTTGGGTTGTGTCTCTCTTGTTCTTCATCATAGTTATAAATTCGTATCGCCACAATATCCGCGAGAGGTCACACGACTACAGATTCTGTGTACAAGACTAAAACCGAATTCTACTACCGACGGCAAAGACAGTGGAAACTTCTCAAAAATACCTGCTCAGGATCCCTACCAAGAAGTACGGATAATATTGCAAAATTTGCATGTTCCTGCAGTTCATGTCCTTGCCCTAGCTCTACGCTCTCCTTTTATTCAAGCCGCCAACTTCTGAATAAACAACGGGATAGACCGCCGCTTTGGATTTGGTACTGCCTTCTTCGCCTCGTTGTTGTTCTTGTTGCACTCGCAAAAGGTCGCGCATTCATCTAAAGCGTTTGCTTGGGGTCAGGGTTATCAGGTGGGAGAGGTGTTGGCCAATCTGTACTATATTAGTAATGAGGGAGCAGCTTTATCCCCAGCAACACGACAGCAAGTAGGACTAATTAATAATATGGGACTAATTATCATGGATGTGTCTAAACTGCTACGAGCGACGCCACCAGTCGAAATGCCGGACGAAAAGCAGGAGCCTGTCGAAGAAGAGAGCGCTTGCCTAGGAGTATTACTGGAGTCCATTTCGGCGCAAGACCATCCTGGCACCCCACTTTTCCTCTTGAAATAAGAAAGTGCCAGTACTATGACCCATGTTTAAGATGCGAGAAAAAACATGCTCCATTTTTTTAGATTTTTTTTTTGGATCTGCTGCTGTTCTTCACGGCACTTCACCACAACAAGACGGCATAAAATAGAGGAAGCACCATCATGCAAGGCTGCAGGAGTCATTCCAGGAGCAAGTAGATCAAGACCACTACTGTGTCCGTGTGGGGCAGTCAGAGACGCTCCGTATCCAGCCAGACACATGCTGCCGTTGTCAACATGCTGCCGATTTCTACACCACTAGAATCGGGGCCGTTCTCGGTGAGGCTGTTTTGTTGAGAGAAAGAAGCTCATGATCGGATACAGTACAAAAGAAAGAACCTCACGATCGGAGAGAAAGGAACTCATGTTCTCGGTCAGGACTCTTACAATTATAGACAGCTAGTTCCTGAACCTGAGGATGCCTTGACCATGCGCAGACAAGGGTAGAAGTCGCGGCTGTAATCAGATCCGAGTGAAGTAATCTTAAACATCAGAATGTAAATGTTGAATACAAATACATATAGTACCAGGGAGATGCTCTTCAGCTCACCACTCGATAGAAAAGTTGAAGAAGTGCTTTCTATCCACGAGCACGACAAGATAGTAGTAGCTTCTCTAGTGCTTTTCATCTGCATCTGTCTTCTAGGTACACGCAGTCGTCGGGGTAATATCGATGTCATCGAGACGCGGCTACAGCTCTACACTATAATGTTCTTCTTGTTTTGGGAATTCAGATTTGCACCACCCACTGCCACCAATTCAGATTTGCACCACTCCGCTACTAACGCCAGCAACTCCAAAAGGACAAGGACTTCCTAAAGGACCTTCCTAAAGGACTTCCTAAAGGACAAGGACCTCCTTCAGAAGGACAAGGACTTCCTAAAAAGCCTCATCCTCCGACGCCGACAGGCTGCATCAACGTATCCCTGTCGCTTCCCGGGATCGCAAGATACCGACTCTCAGCCTGATTATGTGAAGATGTCCCAGGACTGCTTGCACCACTGTTGCTACTTCTCCGTGTGTTATTTCGTTGCAATTTCCTTGCAGTCGCCTAAACCAAAGTAGGAGAATGTCGACTATGATCTGCTTGGAAGGCCAAGCGCGCTATTAGCGACTCACCAGCGTTGTTTCTTCGAATCGCGCTGGCAGCAGTCATTGCATTGTGTGAATTGCGTTGACCACTAGTAGTTGAGGATTTCGAGTTGCTATTAACGATCACAACAGGTGCAGGAGGCGCATAAAAGTGCGTTGTCATTCCGCGTAGAGCAGTTGGCTGAAAACTCTGTTGCAGTTGTAGCCCGTTGATGTTATTGAGGTCACCTACTCCTGGTCCTACAAACGGAACTTTACCATGCTGTTGTTGTTGTTGTTGTCGTTGGTAGCCAAAAGCATCAATAGAGTCATCATCTTCTTTGGGGAAGCTGCCACTCACTATGCAGTCACTTGTTCGCTTTTACTACAGCTAGACGCCCGTCGAGGCAAGCAAGAACGGATCCATTTGTAGTCCACTTCCAGATGAGATGCGGCCAAGGTTCTGGAAGATGACTGTGGTGGTGCGGCAGAAGGAAGTCAAGGGCCCTTTTCCACAGTAGACAGGAGACGGAAGAACGCTGCCGAACACCAAATGGGATCAAGAGTTCTAGCGGAGCGAAAAACGTTATGGTTGTAGCTAGTAGATTTCTGCAGAACTTGTGGATCCATTTGTAGTCCACTTCCAGATGAGATGCGGCCAAGAAAGCTACTACAGCTTCGGCAAGAAGTTGAAGTTCTACGTGGCTTAATGTTAGTCAGTCGTGCCCTACTTTTGTTGAAGTTCTACGTGGCTTAATGTTACTAGTCCTCAGTCGTGCCTTAGATCCAGAGCTTGGCTGTGGTTGAGAAGGAGAAGAAATAGTCTCCGGCGCTTGCAGTTGTTGATCTTCCTGGGTGGGCACAGCAGATGTTGACGAGGCAGAAGATGTTGACGAGGATGCCCCTGCGATCTTCGCGATGCTCTTGTTGAGAAGACTAGAAGATGAGGAACTACTAGCACAACTACTGGATGGCATCGTCTCAGGAAAATGATTTAACAGAATTTGCGGAAATGGCCTTACTCCTTCTGTCCGATTTTTCAGGACGTTTCCCCCGTCGCTCCTCGCCCATGTACAAGGTGAAATTAGACTTAGAGGTCTGATGGATATAATAATTACACGACATTCAATACTTGTGACTCATTGCATCCTACTTGATGCTTGATTGTGGCGTAGGCATATGATACATGAAGCTGGCCCCTTTTTGTGCTTCAGTTTCACGCACTTCTTGTTTACAAAAATGCCAGCGATAGCGAAAAAGCAGGACATCAATGGGGACACAAACACAATCTCAGAAAAGGCTTATATCATAACACTATCATACTGAGCTGCCGAGCCCTTCTTTCTCGTTGCGAAGTGGTCACGAACGGGCCGCATCGTCTTCGGGATGACTAGGCGGCGCCGATGTCGTCGCGCAGGGGTGCTCTTCGCTAGGCACGTCGAGGGGCGCGCCTCCCTCGTTATCCAGACTGCTTTCTCCGCGCTTCTGTTGTCTCCTTGTTGAGCGTTCTCGTGCCGCACGGCTCTTCGCTGTCTGCTGCTCCTTCCATCGCGCCATCTCCTTGCTGACAACAGCCTGCGCACGACCTGCCGCGAAAAAGTGGAATCCTGTCTTGTAGCGTGCTGGGCCGCCTCTTATTAGAAAAGAAACGTAGGAAAATGCCTACCCGTGGCGGAGTGCGTGGCCGCGTCTTTCTCCCCTTGGGTATCTCTGTAAACCAAGGGGAAAGCCCCCCAGGTCACCCCGCTCCGGGAAGTGAAGTGGTGGCCTTAACACTAGTCCACTGGCCTCTGCTAGGATCGTTGAGAGTGCTGCAAATCTCGCCCACCAGGACGCGTCGACCTCGGTTTTTTCAAGCGCGCGCTTCATGAGGGTGACCTTGAAGACGCGGAACAAGTCACCCCACCGAGCACCGTCATCCGCGAGGGCCGCGACCCCTGTCTCTTCCTGTCCCGCTTCTAGGCGTCCTGCCTCTTCTTGTCTTTCTTCTTCGCGTTGCCCTCCTTCCGTTCCTTGTTTGCGCGGTCCTGCTTGTCTGCGTTTGTGGTGCCGCGATGCCCTCTCGCTTTTGCTCGCCATCTGCTCCCGCATCGTGTTCGGCGGTAGCTCGCTTCCCCCTCTGTGAATCTTCTCCGCCTGGGTGTCCACGAGTGGAAGTTAGAGCGTGCGAACGAGAGCGCCATCTCAAGCAGGAGCGCCCCTGCGGTGGTCCTGTGCCAATCTCTCTGACCCCGCCCTCAGCGGTAGGCCTAGGCGTAGTCCCCCTGGCCCACTGCTCTGTGCTTTTTTCGTCTTGAAATGTAAAGGCGCAGCGGGATCACCGGAAGACCCAGCAGTCTCTCAGGGGACTACTGCATGACCACTGACTGACTTTTGCGCCTTTTTACTCATCCAGCAATGGCCCAGTAATGATCTCACACAGGCAATACCGTTGCTGGGTCGTGATTATTGGCCCAGTGCCGGACGGGTAAGAAGGCCAAAGAGGCACGCCGCATACATCCAATGCGTGCGGCGTGCGGAGTGATTACGAGGCTGCCACTGCGTCGGCCTGCAGTAGTCACCCAGCGCCTCTAACTGACAGCCTGCCGAGTCCTCGCGCGGTTATGGCCGCCAAGTCTCGTTGGGTTTTCAGACAAAAAAAGCGCCCGGCGGGGCTAGGAAAAGCAGGCGTCCGCGGGGTTCCCGGTAAGTTGAGGTGCTTGCGCTTAATCATCTGGGTACGAGAGGGCGAGCAGCCCGCGGACATCATACTGGGGTGGTGGTGTGCTCCTTTCCCTCTGCTGTCGGTCGCCGTTAAGAATGCCACGAAAGTCGTCGCACCGTATGAAAGGGGCTGGAAGTACTTGCAACGGGGTGGGGGAAGTATTATACTGCAACGGGGCACGGGGATACTGGTTCCAGTCGGTACTTCAAACGCAAAGAGAAACAAGAAGGAACAGAAGAAAAGAAAAAGCAAGCACTGTCATCACTACACCTTATTTAGCGAACGATGGCCATATGAGTAAACAAAAACTATCTACTATGCGATCGCGCTCGCCATGTTACTGTTACAGGGCGGCCCCGAGTAGTCAATAGGCCTAGTGCTCTAGCCTTTTCGCCATGCATACGATCGAGGCAGGAAAGGTCCTACGCCGTTCGAGCTCGGAGCCGGGGCCGTTTCAGTTATATAAGATATATAAGGTATTCAGGAGGGAAAACTAAAACACTCGCCACGGCATAGGGTGCGCGAGCTTATCTAGCCATAAAGCTTTTTGGATATTCGAACTGCAATCGGATCCGGCACGGGTTTGCTGGTGAAGGTGATGGGCCGGCCTTCGGCGCTGCTCCTGGTTTGTGATGCGCGACCCAAAACCTCACGGGCTGCGACTGCATCGGAACCGCAATCGGGGTTAGAGCCAAAGAAAAAACAAAGAGGAAACTATAACCAGAAGGGCCCTTTAAAAATGGCCCCCCCGAGATTATCTCTATCTCCGAGATAGCCTCAAGCCGAAAAAGAAGCGAGTGCAGTAGAACATAATCAGAGAAGATAAAGAGAAAGCCCATGGCCTGAGGAGAGCGATTCCTTTCGGATCGCCCTTAAGCCTGCACAGGAGATTGTTTATGCTATCACTCAAATAAAAGGCAGACGCGGCCCCCTTTCTCAAGTAGATGGCTTTCTTTTTTCGAACAATGTCGTGTCCCGTCGATATTGAAAACGATACTTACAGAAACACGAAGGGCCACCCCATGCCCGACCTCATTTTTCGACCTGTCATTTCTCTACGTTGCTCGCTTTTCTTGAAAGTATGAGCTAAGTTACCAAGTTACTCTGGATCCAGTCCATAACACAAGACGCACCGCTGTGCCGTATTTCCTGGCCTTCTCCTCCCATGCCTTGCTCCACATTCCGAGCGGGTTGTTCTTGTTGTGGTCGGGCGTTTTGCTTTCGGGCCGCACTATAAGGTCGCCAAAAACGAAAGCAGGATGAAAACGGGGATGGGAGCAGTTTTCGGGGACTGCGAACAGAAGGACCAAATAGGGGCCGGCGTTCGTCCGATTCCTACGAAAATGAGACGACGGCGGAACAAATCTACAAAAGGCCAGCGAGCTACTAGTAAGACAGAAACCAAGGACGCCATCGACGCTTGTAAAAACTTCTAGACCCTTCCATAATGCCCACTATCCAGGTACAGCAGGTAGTCCGGGTGCACGTTTCTGTCGAGATCGTGCCAGCCTAGTACATCCCTGAGAAGCTTCCGGCCTGCCCAAGTTCGGTGTGGTTCGCAGTATGCGAACAGGACGCAGCTTTTAGATAGAGGACGAGGCACGGCGCGTTATTCACAAGAAAGGGGGGCAGCTACTGCCAGGGCCTATCTCTTTCCTATGTTAGTCAGGTCAGCCTTAAGGGATTGGCCGGGCTCCGTCTCCCGCTGGATGAGATGATCGAGGCCGGCAGATAGGTGCTTATCGTGCTGCGCATACTGTGTTGTGTGCTTTGCGGTGACGATCTCGGCCGGCTCTATCACCACACTAGGCAGCTCCGCCGCCTCCTTCAGGCGCTCCTGCTCGGTCTTCGACAGTTGCGCCGGTGAGGGGTTCGGCATCATGGTTTTTCAATTTCAGTGACAAAACAGAACTGGATACTGGGGCCACGACTGTACTCGCCCAGATAGTGACGGGACGCGATACGATCGACGCGGTGGCCGTAAATCTAATGCCTCTACAGAGCCTCTGCCAGTTCAAACGGATTACCTAGCACTGTGCGTTTGGTAGTGAAATGGTGGCAAGGATGGGGCATCATCGTCAAGGGCCTGACGTCTTAGGTTGTCGCCTTTGCAAGCAGTTTCTAGGGTTTTCATGTGTTTGCAAGTCTTTCCTCTTCACGAATTCGAGCGTTGGCCTTTCAAGTTGGAAGGATGCGGGATGCCTCTGAACCAGATCAGTCGACCACCATGGACGCAGAAGGATCGCTTTGGCTGCTTCAGATCATGAACAACACTCGAGCAAGCTCTTAGGACCTTCCAGTCTGAAGCGACACCAGGACCAGAGAGGAGGGCCAAGGGCTTACCGGATCAGAGAAAATTACGACTCAGTCGGCCTGACACTCGCCAGCGCCTAGTATCCATGAGTCTAGAGTATTCACGTGAGATCTCCGTATAAAACGTCAGGGATTCAAAAGTGGGAACTTACTGAGCCCGCTGTCAGTATTCGTTCTTCTGTTGTAGCTTTTAAACCAGCACGTCACTAGTCAAAACCATGGCATCTAAACTTATAAGGAAGCCATTCTGATTTTTGTGGTGATCAGTCATCCTCTGTAGCTACGCGAACGATAAGAGCGGGCGGCCTTCCTTGCTTCTCGGAGCCCTGCCCTCAGGTCAAGGCTTCATCTAGAAGACACCTGAACACGCGTGGTGAGTGAACTCTTGTTGCTTCTAGGGTGTAAGTGGCCATTTGTACTAGAGTAAAAGAAAGCTTGAGGCGTCAAGAGTCTGCCCATTATATCGTCTCCATCTGTTTCAGTCATGTCTTAATATTTTTTTCTAGAGTCTTCATAAGAAGACGAAGAAAGAAGAAGCAAGTGAGAAGAAAGTGAAAAATACGAGAAAGTAAAAAGGAGAAAGCGCGTTTTTTTTTATGTTTTTGGAAGGGATCGTCTCACGAGACTGACAAGAGACAAAGCGCGACTGTGGTGCGCCATCAAAGCACTCGACTCACTCAGCCGAAGCGGCTGAAGTATTTGCTTCACTTTCATGATGTCACGAACCTCTTAGGGCTTGCTAAGCCCATAGAGTACGGCCGTCGTCACTGAACTGATGGCAGATCTTCGCTTCGCCTTTTGTTCAGCGAGCAACTAGACTCACTAGCCGACACAATAGGGTTCCTTATGGGGTTAGCCTCCATCTACTCGCGGCGCGGCCTAGTTGATAGTGCTGCACGACCTTCAGCCACTGGGCCAAACCCCATCCCACACGAGGCCAGGACGGGACGCACCTGCTTAAGCTAACCCGCGGGCTTCCCCCTAGGGGGAAAGCGCTGCGCCCATTTTCTTCAACCTCTCTCCACCCGTTAGGGCCTTCTTTGTCGTGGTCGGCCGTTGGGGGCTTCTGCTCCTGTAGAATCCGGCCGGCGGCGCTTCTTCTTGGTTCCATTTCCTTCACTTTTGCGCCTCGTAGTTGTGTCGCGCCTGCCTTTGCCTCGGCCTGCTTTCTTAGAGACAGTTGCCTACTCGATATCATGGGCCTCACATCTTCGAAAAAACAGACTTGCTCTCTCTCAGCCTCGCGCGTAAAGTGAAAATGTGACGGCATAAAGGGCACTGATGTTATTGTTAGAACAAAGACCACGCCGTGTTGCTTTACAACTTCAGCGGACCCAAATAGCATAAGAATGGCCATAACTGCTAATAATTTGAGCATGCTGCAAGAACTGGAGGCGCGCTGTTCTGTGCCACGAACGTGCTTAGAGATTGCCGAGCGGATCTTCCTATTAATTTGAACCAGTGGACCAACTTAGTTTATTTCTGTTTAGGTTTAGTCATTATCTCATCTACGGGATAGGCTGTGACCATCCAGGTTAACAAGGTTAGTTTGGTAGCCTCTTCGTCTCATCTGTGGCGTATGAGGTTTTTTGACCCTCGTCTAAGGTTACTAACCGTTAGCAAGGTCATTCAGATCGAGCCACAAGTAACGCTAACTACGCTCGGGGCTCCAGTGGCGCCCTGAGTAGAAAAAAATAGTGGAAAGTCCATCAGTTACCGATCTACACTAAGCTTTTCCTCTAGGCGTTATTTAGACTGAAGCGCAGCGTTGCCTCCTTTCGTCATTAATTCAAGGGCAAGAAGCCTCTAAGCCTGTGCCTGGACTCTGTTAGTATACGTCTACATCCTATGGCCATCTATGGCCATGCTCCTGTAAGGACGAAGGGTACAGAAGTAGACTCCTCCCTTAACCGGGTCTAAAGTTGCCGGATCTGCTGCCTGTCCTTCGTCATCCTCTGCCTCGTTCTCGCTGCTAATATCCTGGACGGCGATGATACTGCCACGGCCGGGGTCGCCTGGTGGCGTCTTCTGAGCTTCTTGAAGCTTCGGGCGTGGAGGGGACAGGGCGGGGTCTGCTGGCTTTCCCTCCTTGCGCGCCTGCTCGGCACGCCTCGTTGCTTCGAGAAAGCCACGCCGGTCCCGAATGTCCTGACAGAAGAGAAAGTCCGAATCTACGCCCTTATCGTTGAAGCCATCTCCCTCACTGATCTGATCGCCAGGCTTCTGACTATCGGCGTCACGCTTGGCGCTGTCGTCGTGGTTGGCCTCATCGCCGACCCCCCCCTTCTGGTCGTTGTCACAGTCAGTGGCGGCGTGGTCGTCCTCGTCGTCACTCGCGTCCTCGATGGGGTCAAAGACCTGCCGGGCGCCTGAGAAGCTGGCGCGGAAGCGGTGGGAGAAATCGGCGGACCGACTGGAAGCGGAGGAGGCTCCATCTTGGGGGGCGGTGGCTGCGCTTGAAGCCGAGGCGGCGCCAGGATTTGGAACGAGATCGGAGAGCGCGTAGCGGCGTTTCCCCAGCTTTTCTTGGTCTCGCATTTGGGTGGCGTAATCCTTCCGCAGGTCCTCGAGCTCGGGTTTGTGCTTAGAAGAATAGATGAAGCTTGCTCAGCGACGTAATCAACTACAGCTTCCTCGTTCCTAGCACTGTAAGACCCAAGAAAGTGAAACAAGGCACCAGCCACATTAATCCTATCACTATGATTATGGTGCGCCCTAATGTTCGTCGCTATCTTTGGACACCCTTTTACTATGTCCTAGTCCCTTTTACTATGTCCATGTCCTTCTTACCTAGTCCTTGGTGCACCCTATAATCACGACTATGTCCTAGTCCTACACAATAGAGATCTATAAGTAAGGGGTAAGGCGGTGAGAAAAGGGGGGGGTAAGGGGTTCTTGCGCCTTAATGTTCTTCGCTATTTTTGGACACCAAAAGCATCGGTGACGAACCGCGCCCGGCTTTTGCTGTTGCGTCGAAGCTCTCGCAGCCTGAGCTCGCATCTCACTGCACCTCCCTGCCGCGTGGTCATAAAGGTAGTTAGAGATGATCTAAAGTTTCTAGAAGATGGAGGTAGAATTATCCGAAAGGAGTTGCTCTAGATCTCTTCAGACCACCTCGCTTTTAAAATGGGTCCCAGCTTCTTCGCTGATCATTCTGTATTATTGAAAGTGACAGATTATAGTCTGTTGATGACGTTGCGCCACGACCTGGCCAAAATCCTTCTTCTAACCATACCAAATAGCTAGAAGTACAAGTGCAACAACCTGGAATATTTAGAAGTCTAGCTCTATGTCTATCAGTTGTATTCTAGTACCTAAATGAAGGAAAAGCTTAGGCTGCCACGTCCTCACATATTTTCTACAAGTCTTGTTTATGTTTTGTACAAATTAGCAACCGCAAGAAAAGACAAGTCTTGAGAGATAGGAAAATCTTAAATTTCTGGCATCGCAAATTTCCTCTGTGCATTCCTCTCTCACGGGCTACGCCAAGGCACGCGCCGCATCCATCTCCCACAGTATGAGCTAGAACAAAGGGATGCACCTTCTCCGGAGGTCCCGTGCCCGCCTTGTTTGTTTCCCTTGCCGCTTTCGAAGCTGCCGACTTAGAGGAAAGTTATCACCAGCATAAGAAACTAGTGCATTTTATCACCATCAGGAGAAACTAAAAGTGCCTTTTATCACCATCAGAAACTAGTGCCATTTATCACCATCAGAAATGAGCACACTTCATCACCATGATCAGAAACTAGCGCACTTTATCAACGTCAGAAACTCGAAGAAATCATCAATATCAGAATGAGCTAGTACATCCTATCCATGATCCTATCCATAGTTGATGAGGACGTTCCAGACGAAAGAGGCAGTTTTGCGGCACTCCGCAGTGTTGCTGCTCCGAGGAGGCTCGTTGGTTGTGCCACACTCCAAGGACGCAGTGTTGCTGTAGTCTCGCTAGTCGATGAAGATGACGATGTTCCCAAGGACCACAGCCCTCCAGGTGTAGTAGTCGCCTTGTTCCATTATTAGAACTTATTTTGTAGCTCTTGTTTCCCTTTAATAACTCTCTCCCCTCTCCCTTGCAATACCCCTAGTTAAATAAATTTAAGTAGCGTAACTTCCCCATTCATAAACTGCCACTGAGAATGGAGCGGGTGCATTTTTCACTGCTGGAGGCACAACTTGTGGTCGCGCTAGCGTTCCAAGATTCGCACTCGGGGGACTAGTAGAGGGTACAGGTCCTCGTGTAGTTGATGTACCAGCTGTAGTCCTCCCTGTAGAAGTTGTTGCACCAGTGGAATTTATTGCCGTTTCTTCTTCAGCAGTACTCAACATATTAGAAGTAGAGGTGGTTGCAGAAGTTATTATTGGTTCAGAACATCCTTGGCTGATTAGAGGACGAGTTCGAGGAAGAGTTCGTCGATTAGAGCAGACCAGTTCTTGAGTAGAAGTTATGAAAGAAAAAAGTGCACTCAAACTCAGAAAAAGTGGCTATTTTCCTGCTTAAATCCTAGCCAATTTCTTGAGTGTGAGTGCACTTTTTCACATCATAGTAGTTTCAGGATTCGTACTCGGGGGACTAGTAGAAACCGCAGGTACCGCAGGTGCTGCAACTCCTCCTCCTCCGGATGTTACTGACGGCTGTACTAGTGTTGCTGCTCCAAACAGGCTCGTTGAGTCACTCAAAGGCTGTAGTGTTGCTGCTCCAAACAGGCTCGTTG